CCTCAGTCCACAAACGTCTGTGACTCCAGTTTTTCTCGTCGTAGTTTAGAGTAAAAGTGGAGTTTGTTTGGTCTCGTGTGTCTGTTTCGTCCACACACGGATCCACCTGAAGATGAAGCTGCAGATTCTCCACACTGACTCCACTTCCCAAACACTTTATCTCCAAACTTTGACATTCCTCTTAGTGATAGAGATATTCTGTTGTAGTCGTGTGAGGTTTTGTGGTCTCCAACACTCGGTTTACACCGCTACTTGACATAATCCAGCGAGCAGGAATCTAAGACGCAAAGCAGCCACACTACACACACCATCACTGACATTACTATCATCGACAAACTGTAACAGGACAGTCACAAACAACACATAACAACAAAATAACGACTGATATAGGAACACAAACCGACACAGCACAACACGTAACCCACAAGCACACACACACAGCGAACCGATTCTAGATATACATCACACAATCGTACTGCGAACAGAGCTCATCTACTCTAACTGACCTACCTCCTCAGCAAATCGCAATCACATGCGATCGACACATCTCACAAAACGTATTGTACTCACAAGCATCACTCAGCCTACATCATACTATCTATCTATATCTCATTATTATCTATCGAGTCTGCTCTCGAGCACAACACACACTCACAACTTCACACTCACACGACACGTTCGATCACACACACAACCACACACATATCAACAACACACTCACACACTACTCAGTATCCAACACACACCACCTACCACAGTCTATACACAACTCCACACAAACCACCGAGATCCAAGCAGAGCTCAACTGCTAGCTTTTGACCTACCTATACACATCACACCACAAACACATTCATCAATACACACACCACCACAAAAACTACCATCTGCACACTATCAACACTACATAGCACCATGCGAGCACAACGACTATCACTCTCTATTCGAACTCACACTGAATAACTGACCACATTCTACACAGACCAGCGTATCATCAACCAGGACGCCACATCCCCACCTCACACTGTGATTCGATATGCTCACGGACATCAACTACACGACAACGTCACTACGACACTACCACCAACCCTACGTATTCTTTCAAACACCATCCACCAACAACCCACACACACTTACCACAACAAGCAATCACCACATTCTGGATGATTTCAGCTTCTGTGAGCGAGCACACACCAACTTACGCACACCACGACAACTACACCTTCACACACACACACAACCACACACCACCCTGAATTAACTCACCCAGACAGCAATCTATCATCAGAAGTCACACACATCACCACCGCCACGTATACACACATCACACAACACACAAAACAATCAACTGAGCGCAACACACGACGACACACAACACTATCACTACATCACAAACGCACTAGCGAACCAAAAACACACAAATCTCTCAGAGTCCACTACGAGCTACTTTGACGGAACAACATCAACACAACACAACACACATATTAAAATACTCAGATCCAAGCGACCACACTCAGCACACCACACCTTACTGCCACTCGACACATCTCAACATTATCACTCAATATTTACACTCCTACACCAGACCACAACAACTCACAGCTATTTCAGGAATCACACAACATACAACCATCAAGCACACTACAGCATGTATCCAACCACACACACAACTCATCTAGCTCCCTGACACACCACCACCACACACAGACAAAAATACGCCGCATACCCATCATATCTATCGAGCACTCACACACACACCAAACAATTATTACTATCACCTACTACACACACAGCACGACCCACACTCAGCTATTACTATCCACACACAGCGACACTCACACATGGCAGCACCACACAGAACCATACAACTATACCCACAGTACACTATCACCACACATCATCTACAAAAACAACACTAACATATCTCATCACTGCGACGGAGCACACAACGATCTACTCTATCTCGACAACAACACATCTAACCCACATTCAGAGATACAATCTACACAGCATAGCGACTACAGAGAGCTCGAGCACTCGCATCACTAACAACACGACATTACACTATACAACACATCACGACAACTACTTACAACAGTCCACTACTCACACATTCGACATCAACACTAACATACACAGACCACAACACACATCTTCTCACACATCACAACACCACACATTTGCGAACAGCATTGCAGCCACCAACACACACACAACTCCACCACACACGAGCGATGATAACGATTTTTCACACCACACACTCACTCACCTGCACCTTCACATCGACTCATCCACACACTCCTCTTCGACTAAGACTATCGTGACCACCACACTTATACACACACATCTAGACAATACACAACGTATCTATTGACATCCAACACACACACACACCATGCGACGACCCATCAGACCGAGTATCTATCCGACCAACAAAGACAAACCACACCACACAGCAGACAACTGTCACACTCACAGCAGATACACATACCCGCACACCAGCAGCGACCTCAACACAGACCCAACACGGATCCAACACCGAGCACGTACTATCCATAACACACATCTCACTATTCACACCTACTAGCGAGGAGCCAACAACAGGCATCTACACCATCAGACACACACAACAACGTGCATCCTCAACACACACACCACACCACCGACAGGAATTCAAACACCACAGCCCACAAAAGACGAACACCAAATCGAGGCTACTACATCGACACTGGCACTAGTTCATTTTACATTAACGAGTGTGAGATTATATGAAGTTAAGTGTGCCCTTTCGCCTTACAAGGAGATTGCGACGGAGACAAGGCTTTTAAATTGCCACTGGCACCTCCGTTAGTGAACAACAGGTCTGATCACTTTTCCCGCAAATGGAGGAGTCATTCTAGTTCCCAAAGTGCTCCCCCCCCAACGTTCACACGTCCCCGAAGTCCAGACCAAGTCCAGACATTCAAGAATGCACCAGAGCGCATGATAAGTCCAGGACCCACAAAGTCCAGGACTGCTGAACTTCTGAATCTGATGAGATCAGACTTTTACAAGTGCTGTTGGTGTTGGTGTATGTTTAAGCGTGCGTGTATGTGTTAGTGTCTCTCGAATTTGGTTGTAGATAGTGAGATGCGTTGTTTAACACGGTTTGTTGATTATAAGGCGTGGTTGAGTGAATTTTAGTAGTGCAGTGGCTAGAATATGTATTGAAAGTTGTGATGATATTAATTAAATTCTGCACAAAAATGTGGTGTGATCGTGTGTGATATAGAGTTGGTCTGATGTCGCGTGTGCCAACTTCCTTTACTCTCGTATGTTGTTATGCCCCATCAACCGGTCACTTCGTGGAAAACCGTCTGACCTCGCTGATGCATTTGATGAGTTGCGTTTCTGTGTCGTTTGTGTGTAGCTATTTAAGGCGGGTATTATTTTATATTTTAACCAGTCGTGCATGGTCGTTGGTAGTGTACGTGATAGTAGTTGGTGTCGCATAATGTGCTGTGTGTGTTGTGTGTAGTTGAGAGTGATGTGATTCTCTGATTAACAGTGTGTTCCCCTATAACCATAAACACACATAACCACTATACGTAACAGAACCTCGAGTTTCGTAAGTTGTTGTGTACGCCCTCGTTGGCTCTGCTCGTTAGTAGTCCTAGAGGGCTCTCGTAGTCTTGGTGTGATGTGTGTGTCGCATGTAGAGTGTATCGTTAAAAACCAGGCGGATCTCAGTCGCGCTTGTTGTGTGTTGCTTGTGGCTTGCCCCAAACTGGGAACGCTCGCCCTCGCTCGCTCGGTGCCGTCGAATGACATGTGTGATTCCGCCTGACCTAGAGTTGTGTTTAGTAGTTCTCTGTTGTTGAAAACCCACTTTAATCAGCTTCGACGTGAGTTGTGTAGTGGCGCGTCTGTCTTTTTTGTTTATTCTTTATGTTATGGTGTTTGAGTGTGCTTATTTTTTATTTTTATCTTTTTGTTTTTTGTTGTGGTGTTTTTATCGTGTGTTGATGCGTAGTATTGTTGTTATTATTTGTAGTGTGAGTGCGTGTGTTGTGTGTGTGATATTTAGTGTATTGTTCTCGATTTGTAGTTGGATTGTCTGCATAATTCCTCAAGGCTTGGAACAAATTCTGCAGATTATTTTTTTTTAAGTAAATGTTTTGCAATTGCTATGTAAGCACTTTTGGAAACTGATCTTGTGTGTTGTATTTAGAGTGTGTGGCTGCTGTGTTGTGTTATTACAGAGATAAAGTTGGACTGGCTTTGGAATGGACTTTGTTAAAATGTTAAAATCCTCGCAGGCAACTAATGTTTTTGAAGACTTGCAGCCCACTCTGAGCTGTGTGTGCTCGCTTACTGCTGCTTTCTATTACTATGGCTGCTCTCGTATTGTGAGTTTTGTCAAATTACCAACGGGCCTTGTCGACGTCACAGTGATATTGGTGGTTCTCGATGCGATGTGGATTGATTGCTGTCTGTTCCTGGTATGGTGGTAAGTTATGTAATTGTGGTGTGAGATTGTATGTCGTTTGAGTTTGTTTGTTGGGTCTGGTTGCTGTTCAATGAGCACAGACCCACTTTGAGAATAGTAGATATGATAGCTTGTTCGGCATGTTCTTGTGTTGTCTAGTCTCTCTGTCTGTGATTGTTGATTGTTGATTTGTGTATTGTGTTCTTGTATGTTGTCGTGTTGTGCTACTGGGGCTTTTTATTTTGT